GTTTGTCATGCATCGACTTGTCAGCACAGGCCACTATTATTTCAGCTTGTGCTAAATATTTTCCAGTTGCTATGATGATTTCAATGAGGATTACCAAAAATAACATGTCAAAATGTCTCTGAATGAATTTGGTCGAAGACAAGGCTGACTCAGATGCATCCAGACGAATCCATGGACGTCTAAATGCTTCTGTTTTATCTTGGTTTCTTTTGCGGTTTGAAATCTGCAGCGCCGAAATTAGCACGCTCATTTGCTACAGTTTGTGTGCATGACAGGGTAGGCTGTGTAACCATGTTTTATTCATTAAAATCTATAGCAAAAACATTCAAAAATATAAGATCTCCATATTTCGTGCTGAAAACTGTTAGTGGAGCACCCTGTGAGACAAAACTGCTCCCGTGATGGGTGCTTGGAAAATGCTAATGTGGCTTTGATGTTTTGGTTTGTCAGATTAAAATAAAGATTAATTTTAATTTTGAATTATTCATTTCTCTTGAGTGGTTTATTCTGTTTTAAAAAAAAGCCTCTTTGTATTTATAGTTCGAATAAATTATTGAGAATTAAATGCAGAAGAGAAACGTTAAAGGTGCGTTGTGTAATTTCTCGGGTAGAGGGTCCATCACCTGCTTGTCTCCTTAGATTTTACTGTATTGCTTTTTTATAAAATGTTTCACAGTGTGGCTTTAAACTTGTCCATCTTCAGTTCATTCAGCACAGTCAGCAGGGTATCCTCTCCACAAACCTGACTGGTATCTTGGTCTAATGGATATAGGTAAGTTTAATACCATACTGTGAAACATTCCAAGCAAAGAAACTAAATTGTCATGGAGACAAAAACACAGGCGGACCCTCCACCAGAAAAGTTACACAGTGCACCTTTAAACATACTGCTATTTTTATATTTTGTAATATTCATTGTTCCTGCTCTTTTTCACTGACAAAATTTCAAAACTTTTCCATGACTTTTTCATGACCTAAAGTGAATTTTCGATGACTTTACGGCACCTACATGTGTAGAATTGATCAGACTTTTAGGGTAAAAAATGGTTATGGTTTGGGATTATAGTTTTAACATTCAGTTTCCATACGTCTGCACTTTTTGTTTAAAAGAGACGACAATAAATGCACTGACAGTATTTTGAATGTTAAAAAACTATAATACCAAACCATAAGGTGAGTGGAAAGGGTTAACATTTCATATTTAGCCCTAAAATACTGTCAGTGCATTTATTGTCCTTTCTTTTAAACAAAAGGTGCATATGTTCAGGAATAATCATAATAGCCTAATCATAACTTCACGGAATGCTGTAGTTGCGTGAAAGAGATGACTTTTCCAAAACTTTCATTGAATTTACAAAATTCAAGGCCTGGAAAAATGACATTTTCAATTTCCATGACTTTTCCAGGACTGCAGGATGCCCATGGGAACCCTGAATATTTCAATTATTAGTATCAGCTGAAGAATATTTGCACTTATCCCTCTGGTTGTCCAAATTATACAGAAATGTAAAGGGGCACTAGTCTGTAAATAATTATTATTAGTTGGTTTGTCCACTGATCCAAAGATTGGAGGTGCGATTCCAGCTCCCACAGATGAATAATGTTGTTGTGTCCTTGGGCAAGACACTTAACCTACCTCGTTCCGCAGTGTCCGTGTGAATGGGTGAGTGGTTCCTTGATGTGAAGTGCTCTGAACACCTTGAAGGTAGAAAAAAGCACGTTATAAGAATTCCACTATTTATCATTTACTATATTTAAAGGTGCACTATGTAACTTTTCGGTTGGGGGTCCGCCACCTGCTTGTTTCTATGGAGATGTCATTAAACACCTCTACTTTACATTTATTCAATTACAGGTGGTTTTATAGCTCAAAAATACCTACAAAATAAGGCATTCTGACTGTGAGCGGGGTCACCTTTACACAGATCTGACCTGTAACTTGGTCTGGTTTGGTCTCCATGACGATCAAAAGTTTAGTATCATACTGTGAAACATTCCAGATGACATCTCAACGAAGAAAAGCAAGAAATGACAGACCCTCCACCAAAAAAATGCACTTTTAACATGCATTTATTCATTTGTATTTTTTTTTTTTTTTGTGGCCCAAAATATCTTGAAAAACATGCACTCTAACTAAAAGTGGGCTCGTCTCTGCACAAAATTGTCAAAAACTGCTTCCTGCTTGTCTCCATTGAGGAAAAAAAGTAAAAAAGGAAGCTATACTGTGAAATATTACCAGAAAAATAATCGCCATGGAGACAAATTGCGTGTGAATCTTAAACATAACACAAAAACAGTTCATGCTCCAAGCTTCAATCAAGTTCTAAACGACTAATGCTGACACTTTAATTATGAATTTGGTTATTTGCCAGATGCTTGTCAGAATGATTACAATAATTATGAAGACACAAAGAGGTTATAATTACTGTTGCAAGATCTTAGACAGGTGGACATGGCGAAAATGTCAAATGGAATTATGGAGGGTTTGCAGATTTTGTGGCGGGGTTGAATTCATTTTAATTTTTGTTTTCATTTTGGTTGAAAACTAGTAATATTAACCAACAAAATAAAACAAGAATACTAATGATGCCCCCAAACTCACAATGTAAAATGTGAAAAAAAGATATAAGCTCTCTAATGGCAGGAGACGGACAAAGTTCTTTTAATGCTGACGTCTTTGCATGAGAAGACAGGAGAGTGATGACAAACTGAGAAAGTGAGTCATGTCTAAAATAAGCTCCACATAAATGACAATCCTAATAAACTCCAAATCTACCGTGATTCATGCCAAAGGCTAAAAACAATATTGGTGTTACTGTGCAAACTGTACAGTCTTCTTCAAACGCCTCCATACCGAAAATGAACCTCTAAATAATACATGAGAATAATACACAGAACTGTAAAGCTGAATTAAAGGCGGACTGCGTCACTTTTCTGGCAGAAGGTCTACCAACAGTAGCTTGATTCATCAGCCGGTTTCACTTTGTAGAAACCGTCTGACCTTGCAGCGTTAGAATTCGTTCGCTCGACTTTTTTTTTAATCATTTAACCAATTGCTGCTATTTGGTCGTGACGTATGTAATGCACCGCTAATGGGGCTAACTGGTATATTAAGCTTTTCCCAAATTCCTTAGAAAGAAGGGCAAAAACATCTTTCCTCTTGAGAAAATTCACCAAACATTCTCTTTGTTCCGGCTTTTGAGTATCAGTCGAAGGATATTTGCAGTTATCTCTTTAGTTGTCCAATTTATACAGAAATGTACAGGGGCACTAGTCTTATTATTATTATTATTAGTTGGTTTGTCTCACTGGTCCGAAGGTTGGAGGTACAGTTCCAGCTCCCACAGATGAATGCTGCTGTTGTGTCCTTGGGCAAAACACGTAGCCCACCTCGTCCTGCGGTGTCTGTGTGATGGTAGGCAGGTGCTTTTTTTCATTTAACCAATCGCTGCTATTTGGTCATGACGTATGTAATGTGCCGGAGTTAACTGGTATATTAAGCTTTTCCCAAATCCCGTAGGAGGAAGGACAATAACGTCTTTCCTCTTGAGAAAATTCACCAAACATTCTCTTTGTTCCAGCTTTAAATCCTCCATCTCGGGAATTGCTGCCAACACAGAATGTATGGCTCTTTGCTGATTGGCTGATGCCTGAACTCGTACTTCTGAGGTTCTTGCAAACCGTCTAGTGCAGGGGTGTCAAACTCATTTTGGTCCGGGGGCCGTATCCAACCTACTTTGATCCTAAAGGGGCCGGATCAGAAAACTCATGACATATAAACCCCAAAAACAGCAATAAATTCAAATATTTGTGCAGAGAAACACAACTCTATTACAGAAATCTTTCTTTTACACTCTTTCTTTTACAAAATATTATAATATTATGAGAAAAAATGCTATTTCAACACAATGTTTTAACATGAACTTGTATGTAAATAGGAATAAGTCAATTTTTGTTGTAAAATCCTGCACTCGGTTCCACTTTTCTATTTTTGACATTTTTCTGATGAGGGTGTCACGGTCAACAGTCAAAACGATCGTCCTTTAAGAGCGTTTGGAAAGAGACAAGTCTTCATTTGTGCTGCTCTGGTGGGAGGGGCCACGTACAGAGACGCTGGAGACGCTGCTCTTCTAAGCTGAACAGAAAATTACCAATATTTTAATAGAAAATATGATTAAAATATTTTAGTAGAAAATCAGCCGAGGGCCAGATTAAAGGTCTTGGAGGGCCGGATCCGGCCCCCGGGCCTTATGTTTGACACCTGTGGTCTAGTGTATTCTGATTCCTGACCTAGTTGCTGGAGAGAAATGAAATTGAGCAGAGGTACTGGCTATATCAACAGTATCCATGGAGATATTATATTGTCTGTAAACAGTGTGGCACATTCATTCTATTCGTGGATGTCTGTGTAATCCCTCAGGCATCAAGGTAGGTTCCATCGTAAACAATCTTTGTAAACACAAAACAGGTGAATGTGCCAGGCCAAGTTATAGGTCAGCTCTGTGGAGAGGCGAACCGGCCCACAGTTAGCAATACACATGAATGATTGAAAAAAAATCCAAAAGATAAGTTTAATGCCAAACTGAAAATTCCAGCCATAAAACAGGTGGTGAAACCCTGACCAGGAAAGATACACAGTGCACATTTAATTCTAACATCTGTCCTCTGAGCATCTGAACACTTTTTCTCTGGAATAAGCACAGAAAGTTAAGAATGTACAAAACAAATGTGCTTTGTGCTCGCATTACACTCTGAAAAAGTGTACTAGTATAAGCAGGGCAAAACTACAACTGAATGCAATAAAATTCTGATCAAGCTGGGGCATGACAACATAATGCAATGACTGGTTATCAGAATTTGGTATAATAAAATTTGCCAACATCTAGTACTAAGACACCAGGTGTTGTTACAGAAATAGTTTTAGCATTTTTTGGAAAAACAACAGCTCTTCTTCAACTGTAAAGAGCAGAAATGGAAAAGAATTACATAAGCCAAGAAAGGAAATCTTACAGAATTTATTTGTACATGTATTTAAAACTGCTGGAGGAGTGTTTAAACTATATTGGTATAAACTGTTAGCTCTTCATGTCGTCTAAAAGCAGAATAGTTACACATTTCCTGAATCGCTTCGTCTTTTATTTTTTATTTTTGTTTTAACTCCAGCGTTTGAGGATTTGGGGTTGCATGAGATGTAGACACCTGAAAAAACACGGTATATCCTAGTGGCTTAAATTACTGTTGCAAACACCTTTCTTACGGTCCATTTGAAAACCTTTATTTATGGCTCCTCCTTTGCCCGTTGTGCAATCTCATAGTTCCTCTTTCACTTTCCTTCTCTTGTCATCCTTAATGTCATAGAACAGTTTTGGTCCAATTTCTGCAGAAAGTTCTTTAAAACCCGGTTGGTGGACAGTCTCTTCTCTATCACGGTGACAAGTGAACGCAACACGAACAACCATTTGCAGGTGGACAGGTGAAAATGCAGGGAGAGGCGAATGCTTGGACCAAAACAGAAAAAAAAACATCCTTGGTGCCATTTTTGGACTCTGCTCGCTGCTTTCTATCTGTAATAGCTGTGTAATTATGCAATAGCTATGATAATTATACATCTGCAAATTGCACAGAAATTACAGAAATCAGGGCAAGGTTATTTTGGAATTTCATGATTTTCTTTAAAAGACAGAGATGAGGGCGAAGACTCCGTACAAGAGAGCACAGGGGTAGGCCACTAATAGCTGCTGTCCATCCATGGCAAGAGCGGAGATGAAAATCTTTGAAGCCGAGAGACTGCACCAACCGATTATACCAGCTGTTAAAATGACTCCCAGCATGCCCCTGGAGGAGAGAGAGGACACAAATATGTTAGAATTTTAACTTATTACTAACAGAATGTCCCTAATGCATGTCTGTTGATACTTTAAGGTCGTTTTCACACCGCTAGTTCCATTATTTGGTTCGCACCAGGCAATAAAATTGTTATTATGTAGCAAATACACTCCAGTGTGGTCCGCGTTCACACCGGCAAACGAACCAAAACTGGTTCGATTCACGTGTCTCTGTTTCCCCGGTAAAACAGCGATACCTCCAGTTATCAACACCGATGTTCCTGTTAATACCGCGGGCCGTCCTCATCTCAAATTATCACCATGAACTCATAAAACAGCACCATGTAGAACTTTGTACAAACTCACCGCATCAGCCCAGAGTTCGGGTAACAGCAGCAGCCAACAGCGCTCAAAGTAGCGCGCAGCTCCTCAGGACGGGGCTGGGGTATGGTCCTTGGTCTTCTGTTACAAGCTCGTTGGTCAGATGGTCCGGAGGCTCTGTCCTCCATGTGCTGGTTCCAAACGGTGGCGAGCAAGACCAGTGCGCAATGACTGGGTCCAAGCGGGTACGTTCCGTCGTCTGCGCGCTGTTTCCGTGCGGGAAAAGCGAGAATGCGCTGTGGACTACAGGTCTGGCGCACTGCTCTGGTTCTCCGCGCTCAAGAACCACGGCTGGTTCCGAGGTGGTGCAGCATCCGGACAGAAGTGTGAGTCCAGTTTGGTTTGTTATATGTTGTTCTGAGCGTCCGTCCTCCGCGCATTTGGTTCTTCCCGGGGAAAGTGCTTCCTCAGGTCGAGGCTCCCCGCTCCCGCTCCTCTGAGCCCGGCCTGAACTGGAGCTGCCCCCGCTGGTTCAGGACTCTGGTTTGGATCTAGTCCGACTGTATTTCTCACACTAGGCTAAAAGCAGGGACTTTTTTAAGTTGTATCAATTGAATGGGCGATTGCCTATTGCCATAAAATTATTTGGTTAATTAAAGCCTAAAATAACAAATGTTGGTTGCTGTGTGATCACGGGGGAACACCGGGACTTCTCTGTGCGTGTAGGTCCCGAACAGGGGTACGCACCCCCAATTTTGACTCACTCTGGAGCCACACGTTCGCACGTACTTGCTCTGATCTTCGTGTGTTACATTCTCTGTATTGGCCATTGTTGGTAAAATGATTCGAAAATGAATCGCGTCTGCGTCTGGACAACAATCTGTTACTGCGCTGGAGTCGTACAGCGCGTCATTTCAGGCAGAGGAGACGCATGTCCCTCCCATGATGCATTTCGAATAGTCCGTTTGTCCATACTGTCTATGGTTTGGACCCGGGTTCGCGTTCACACCAGAGGAACCGCACCAAAGTTGGTCATTTGGTGCGGATTCAAGCGAACCGAGACCACCTCTTTTTAGCGGTCTCGGTCCGCTTGATTTGGTTCGGGTCCGAGTCCGATTGACGCTTTCACACCAACGCAAACGAACCGAACTAACCACTTTTGGTTCGAATGGACCGTTTGGTGCGCACCAAATACTGTCGGTGTGAAAACACCCTAAAGGTTCTATATTAGTCAAGATTGACTCTAGTGAGTGTTAAACCATGTTATAATGTTAAATAAACAGCTGGAGTTGTGTTTTGTTTCATTCACGCGTGTTTGAATAATCCTGCATTATTAGTCATTTTGCATCTCCAAAGCTCCAAATGCTCTGTTCCACCTTGTGATGTCAACAAGTGGTAGTTCAGAAGAGACTGGCAATTCCAGGGCTGAAATTATCTAAATGATTCTAGTGAAGGTGTGTGGAGTTTAGAAAAACAGAGGAACACTTCCTGTATTATCACATCACACAAGTTGGAAGAGAGTATTTTCTATTTTAGAAAATAACTCAGCCTAAATATGCAGGGTTTATGTGTTAAACATTTGTGAATGAAACAAAACACAATTCTAGGTATGTTTCTGATGAGGAAACAATATTATAACAAATCATAAAATAGAGCAATATGGGCCCTTTAAACACTGATATAACAACATTCGCAAGAAATATACTAGGTACAAATGTTGAATATGATTGTTTCTATTAGTAAATATTAATAGAATTATTCTATTAGACTCAATAGTTTGCTTTATTACACCAGAAAGCTGAACATTTATTTTAGCTGGGCCCCATTAGTATTAAGTATAGAATGTTGTGATGTCCTCTGTAACCCAACATGAGTTACTCTGAAGAAATGTATGTAGAGCCTTGTTAAATAAGATAAACAAGTTAAACTAAATACACAGCTAATGACAACACAGAGATAATACACAGTGAGTGCAAACAGTAGGAAAACACACAACTTTGAAGTGAAACAAAAGCGAAGCGGAACATCACAGTTTGCGTAGTAAGCAGCACCATTTTCCTACTACCCAAAATAACCATGCAAATTACCCCCTGTGAAATGTGACACATGGTATTTTTTGTTTTTTATTCAATTTTACTGCAGCTTTCACTACTTTTAATCATTTCACATAAACCTAATCCTTATTTTGAAATTATTCTTGTTATTTTTTCTCATTTCTCATGTTTATGTATTATAAAAAGAAGAGTTGCATGATTTTGGAAAATTTTGCAATGTCATATTGATATTATTGCAATATTTGAAGATACGTTTGACTCAATATTTCAGTTAAAATAAAACAAAGAATTACATGCTTTCATTTATGAGTGAATAAAAAAATACCCGAAACAAAAAAATAAAATTAAGGCAAATGTTAGATTGAATAAATTATAAATAAAATCTGCTTCGATTAAACATTCAATAATTTTATTATTATTTTTTTTAAGTTGTACATATATACAGTTGTACATATATAGGCCGCACCTGAATATACGTCACAGGTGTTCATGTCTTAAAGAACGTTTTCAAGTTCGGGCCATCTGCTTTTATTGCCTCTAAAACCTTTTGTCGTCCTTTTGCACTGAGTCAGCTCGTCACGCTGCTGTCGCCAAAGTGTCATCATATTCCTTATAGTTCGGAAATTACGGTATGTGCGATATCATTTACTCAGTCAGTCAATACCATGATATCGACTCTTTTGCGAGATACTGTACAGTGCAGCCCTAACAAAGACACAGCGACATAAGCACGCATTACAACAAAAGTGTCATGAATGTGTCCTTACTGTAGTGAAAAGAGGACTCCGAAGCTGGAGAGGAGGATCATGGGAAGGAGGCAGTACCCCAAAACACTGGCCACGCAGCCGAAAGACACGCCCGTCATACTCATCAGGTTCAGCAGACAGTACATGCCCAGACAGCCGATGGCACTGATGCCGTACACATACCCGAACTGGATCTTACCCGACTAAGACAAGACAGAAAGAGGTGTTGTTTAATGAAGGATTTGTCACATTAAAAGTTTCCCTACGTAACTTTACGGGTGGAGGGTCTATTACCGCCTTGTCTCCGTGGAGATGTTATTGCTTTGCCTGGAAGAGTACACATTATGGCTTTAAACCAGGGTCTCCAACCTGTAGCTCGGGAGCTACCAGAAACTCGCCACCCCCTTCCAAGTAGCTCCCCAAAGGATTTCAAAATTATACCAAAATTATACCATTGTGCTGATAAATAGCTTTTTTTCTTTTTTTGTGCACATAAAGCAGATGTCACAGAGAAAAACAATTAGTAGTAATATAACGTGACATTTTTTAAAATTCCCCAAACCCCCCTCCCATTACTCTTTTCCACTGTCTCCTGTGGGGATATAAAAAATATATATATAATAAAAAAAAAAAACATATATATATATATACAAATTAATAATGTAATAAAATGATAAAAAATAAAAATAAGAATAATAAAGTAATAGTTAAATAAAATAAAATAAAATAAATAAATAAATATAGGGAAAAGAGGGAAATTAAATAACAAAATGTGGTTAATTACATGCCTATTACTATTGTAGATGTATAATTCTGAAGTTCAACTTTTTGCACTAATAAATGGACAGTGTTTTATGTTTCTTTAATCGTCTCGGCCACTAAAATGAGTAGCTCTCTGGCATTTTTGTTTTATAAAGGTAGCTCACCGGAGGAAAAACGTTGGAGACCCGTGCTTTAAACGCATCTATCCTGCTTCTAGTCCAATGCCGTTTGTTTATATTGCTCAGTAACACCTCAAAAACATGCATTCTCACTGAAAGCGGGAGCACCTCTCCATGGATCTGACCTGCATCACATGTTCCTTTAATACTATACTGTAAAAGTCCAATGAGATTCATTTGGTCTTCCAATATTCTATGTTATTAGGTTCTTTTTTTCAGACCTAGGGTGTTATTTCATACCTGACAGTTTCGACTGCTCACTAGCGTCTTCCTCAGAGTGGTCACGTGATGTTGCTGTGACGTGTCTGGTCAGCTGATTTAAACAGGTTTTGGCGCTGTCTTCCTACCGGTGGAGGCAGGACGACCAGACACGTCTGGTCACGTGACCACTCTGAGGAAGACGCTAGTGAGCAGTCGAAACTGTCAGGTATGAAATAACACCCTAGGTCTGAAAAAATAACCTATACTGTAAAACATTCCATAAAAGTAAACACCACATCCATGGAGACAAGCAGGTGATGGACCCTCCACCAGAGATGTTACATAGATCACATCTTCAATAACTTGACAACAACAACTTGAGCATAGTTTACCAGAAGAAGTGTGGCTCCAAACGCCAAACAGAAGACCATGGGCCCAGCCAGGTCTGTCTCGTTCATGATGCTGCCGTCTGCTGCCTTCAGCGGGTGTAATACTGTCAGCGTCTTCTGCCAGATGTGGTCAAAGTTGATGCCTAATTCTACAGACACAAAAGGATTTGATGGTGAATTGCAGGTGTCAAAATTACAAAACTAGTAGTGGCAAAACTACAAAGTCCTTTACATGCGTCAGACGACTATAGTTTTTTTTTTTCTTTTATTCCAATAAAAATAACACCATATCTTAGCACTTCATCCAAAAATGTGGGCGGAAAAAACATCTTGTAACAGCTCTTTTTAAAATATACAATCTACTAAAAATTGAAATATCTCCAAAACAATGTAGATATTAGAAGTTATCAATATACACTACTAGTGAAAAAAGTTTGGAAACGCCTTCTAGTTCATTCATTTTTTCTTTATGTTTACTATTTTCTACATTTTAAATACACACAGACATCAAATGCACAATATATAGAATTATTTGGAAAAGAAAAAAGTGAAACAGCTAAACTAATCAATTTAGATTCAAATGCGAAGTAGCCACTCTTTGAATTTTTTACAGCACAGCAAACCCTTGACCCTCTTCTCAGTGAACTTCATGATAAATCTGAAATGTCAAATGTATAAAGCAGTGATCAAAGCAAAGGCTGACCATTACAGTCTATCCGAGTCTATTTTTTGTGTACTATATTCCGTATTTGTCATCCATAGTTTTGATTCCTTTTGACTGGTAGTGGATCTTCCATTCCATCTAAATATCATTGTCCAGTGTTTGTTTCTGGTACCTTCTAGCAGTGGGGGTTCATCATCGAAGGTGCTGTGGTACATGGACTGTGAGGCTGACGGTGTGTAGGTCTGTGTGGGCTGAAAGATCTGTCCTGTGTACGGCTGCTGGGGCTGCATCATTCCCGGGTCGGAGTACGCCATGGGCTGGGAGTAGTCATACTGATTGTACTGTCTGCAAACACAATAAAAACAACAGTAATGAACTAGTTTGTCTTCTGAAAAATCAAGGAGCCAAAGGAGGGACAAAATAATCTAAAATCATCAAGGTTTTGGATTTTAACAACATACAAAAGTAATACATTTTTAGGACTTTTCCAGATACCCAGTTGTTATGTATTGTTAGGTGGAAGAGTGTTTCTTTTTATAAACTTGCCCCAACAAGCCATTAGTGTGCATTGTGTAACTTTTCTGGTGGAAGGTCTGCAACCTGCTTTTCGCCATGGAGATGGAGATGCTTTGTCTGAAATGTTTCACAGTATGGCATTAAACCCTTCTATCATGGGGACCAAACCAGGAGCAATAAAACGTGTAATTGAATAAATGCAAAGTAATCTGTTTAATGCCATACTGTGGAATGGTGAAGAACCCCCAACCTAAAATTTACACAGTGCACCTTTAAGTATAAAATAATTATTGAAAAACGACAACTTATCCAATTTGTAGGGGTGGACAATATGATAAATTAATTAACATGTTTTGTTCGTATTCATTTCTTGAACATAAACATATATAAATAGCTAAATTACAGTACTCACGGAGGATTAGCTGTAGATCTCTGCATGCACATCAGTGACAACAAATTCCTGAATTTTTATCTGATCTCTTCCAGTTGCACAGCCGTGTTTTCTAATATGATTTCATCTGCTTTTTCATACCATGCTATACTATGCTTTTACATTCTCAAAATCAAATGTATCCTTTTTCTTACTTGTTGTAAGGGTCATTGCTGTACCCATAGCCCTGCTGGCCCTGGTCGTCCACACTGTAGCTGGACTGGTAGAAGTCTGTGTTGAAATTGTCAAATCCCGACATCTCTCACCCCTGTCAAAAACCTGAAAAATAAGAGGCACACTTTTAGCCTTTGGACATAAGGACACTAAATACACATGGCACTAAGGCTGTCAGGATTAATCTTAATTGATAAGTTAGTATGTAGGTCACAATAATATTACAAGCAAGAATTAATAAGTAAGTCATTTTGCCTGACATAAAAGGGTTATTTGAATGGTGATCTATGATTACTGTGTTTTTGTTGTCAGTTTTGTAATAGCAAAATCACATAATTATAATGTTTCTCCTCACAACAATCGTAACCCTATAGTTTAAAATTCTCTAGATCACTGTTTCCCAAAGACTGGGTCACAACTCTCAGGTGGGTCGCAAGAGATATTTTTGGGTCGCCTTGTCACAGTTTCCATGTAGGTCTGCAATATACAGTTCTGACACATGAGAGAACTAGAACTGTTTTATCCGAAATTGCTGGTTCAATTGAATGTTGAAAAAGAAAAGAAATGGGCAAAATTTAATTTCCAAATAGCTGAATTATGGATCCTTTTATTGCTGGTTTAATGACTGTTTTTCATTGCTTAAACATGAGTAATACTAATTGTTCAGAGAGACATGATCACGAGTCAACAATAAAATATCCTCATTAATTTTCAATAATGGTAAAATCCACCTTTATTCTGTGATTTACTAATAATGTCTATTGACTTGGATCGCAAAGGTTTGTGATTTTTAAAATATGGGTCTACAGAAAGAAAGAAAAAAAAGAAAAAAGTTTAGGAAACACTGCCCTAGATTACATGACACAAACAAATATAATATCCCACTATAGAAAGAACTAACAACAAGAAATGTTTGTTACTGCTCAAGTGAACACTTTGCAAGCTGCCCTAAGAATTTTAATGTACAGTTTTATCTGCAGACTGAACAAATCAGACAATAAAATAATAATGTCACTCACAAATTTGAGATTCAGTGCAATAAGATATCAGTCCAACATGTGGAGACACTGGTATGGCTGTCTTTTAAAAACATGAATGTTTATTGTTTTGTATTGTCACTGTCCTTGTCTGTTTTTTAAATGGACCATGAGTCCGGAATAAAGATGATGATGATGAAGTAGCAGCATATTTTAGCTCACAAATGGATCATTATATAGGATTGGGCATCAAGTTACCTATATTATAATAAATGTTACTATATTCACATCACTGTATTTTGAGCCTTGGATATATAGAAGTTTCCCTGCCTGAGGCTACCAATAATCTAAGAATAGCTGAAGTAGGCTAACAGTGGCTTAACAACATTCATTAGCAGCAGCACGTACGCCGGTTTAAAAGTGGCTGATGTTCATTTCACCGACGGCGATTTAACACAAAAGAGGTGACAACAAAATGTAAGAAACTATAAATACGAAACAGCTTCAAATACTTGTAAATGTCCAAGCCTGCACACAGTTGTAGTTAGCGGGGTGGCTAAAGTTTCCCGTTAACTACACAGGGCTATTATGTGCTGAGCTAATGCTACTTACAGACAAATAACAGAGAGTTTACTAAGAAACGGTCTCTCCAGAGTAAACAACCAGGATCTATCGTGCCTGCGCCCTCCCGATCACGCTTTTATCATCATCGTAAACGCTCCGGTGCGGTCTTACCAGCGGTGTAACAAATGCTCCAGCTCTGTGCCAGCGCGGTGCGACGTGTCAGAGCGTCAGGAGCGTCGGTTCACACTTCCGGAGAAAACAGGAAGTGGTGGAGAGGAGCAGTGTGCGACCTCTACCGGCGAGAGGAGATACTGCAGCCTGTTTAATGCCACGTTGATGTTGTTTTAAATCGGGGTGTCCAAACTTTTTTCCATCAAGGGCCACATATCTAAACTCAGAAGAAGCAGAGGGCTGATCGAGGGCCATAGACTGATGCTCATTACAGTGAATAATTGAAATATGTGCATGTTTAACGCGTTAGAATGAACCATCAGTCTTTATTCACGCTAAGATCCTTAAAACCACACACTAAATATTCAATATTAGCTTTATCAAGGTAGATTTTCAAAAAAACTTGCAGTAAAAAAATATTATTTAATTGATGCAAGGTAATTTGGGCCAATTCACCTGGAAGTCTGAGGGCCAAGAAAAAATTGTCAAAGGGCCGCACTTGGCCCCCGGGCCATAGTTTGGACATGCCTGTTTTAAATCCAATGAATGAAATCTGTAGGAGGTATTTGCTTAGTTTATTATTTTTGTTTGTTTAGTTAGTTTACTAATTTAGTTTTGTTAATTTGTATAATATAGTTTTGCTATGTTAATATAATTCTTACAAATTTCTTAGTCTAAGTTGGTATTATTTACGTTAGCACCTCTTTTTTGTTTTTGGTTTAATTTGGGTCACCTAGGGGATAAAGGAGGGTGGTACACGTAGACCAGAGTGCACCTGGGTGGGTCACGAGGAGAGGCAGCAGGAGTAGGCCTTAAACATGTATTCCTTGTTGCTTGCCAAAAAAATGGAAAATAAATCTTGGAAAATCATCTCTAGTCATGGACATTGATTTGTACTGCGTAAACCACATACCCATGGTGCCCAAAGGTGATTATTTGAGTTATGTTTAGTTCTGAGTTTTCCCACGCTTTTGTTTGTTACTTTTATTTGACAAATAGTCACTACAAAATCTAATGTTAGACTAGCGTTTAAATCCTGCAAGTTTTGTAGTGGTTTATAGGTCTAGGTCCGTGTGTAAAGGGCTATATTTTTAAATTTTTGTGCATCTTTAAATCAAAATCAAATTAAAACTAATAAAATACAAAGACACATTTAAGGAGACAAGGAAACTTCTTTTGCCAGAATCAGTTTTAATTAGAGTGACCAGATTTTCAAAATGAAAAAAAAAAAAAAGACATTCCTGGTTTGGGGTGCTTGGTAATAATAAAACTGTGAAACAAGTGTGTAATTATGGAAAATTGTTATGCACTTGGCACTAATGTGAGTCAGAATAGTCACATTTTCTTTGTGTTTTGATCATTTTTAAGCAGCTTTTCTGTATTTTACCTAAAGAAACATAAATGTATGCCTCTCTTTACTGTTGGCAGGGATCAAGTTGGTCAAAAATAGGACCACCTGGGACATTTTCTTCTATAAAATTGGGACAAATCGCTGATTTTGGATAAATCTGCTGGGACAGGGGACACAGGGCTCAAAACTGGGACTGTCCCAGGTAAACAGAGATGTCTGGTCACCCTAGTTTTACTGCCATTCATTGAACAAAATTCACAAACTAGGAACTGGCTTCGGTGTTATAGTGCAACATAACAATAATAGAAAATATAAACTTTTATATAAAAAAAGGCCTTAAATGCATTAAAAGAAGGTAAATAAAATGTTTGAATAAATTAATTGAACTTGAATATAGCGATGGGGGTGTTAGTCAGGACTGTGAGTCTCCTGAAGTCCCTCATCATCATCTCCACTGTCTTCTGGGGGCGTTGAGCTCCAGATTGTTACCACAGCACCAGGTCACCAGTCGGTCCGAGATGAGCCCGAAGAGAGTGGTGCATCTGCAAACTTGCAGTATAGGACTATGTGTTTTAATTGCCCCTTGGAGATAAATCGTGTCATAATGATTGATTGGGTAATTAGGTGTTTAGAGATACATTACTTAGACTCTACCTTCTTTTTTTCCTACGCGAAGATAGATACATTTAATAGTGTAACAAAATCAGACTAAAGTGGACTGTGAATCTAAAGATGAGCTTACAAGTAATTCCTCAGGCTATTGTTCAGTAAATTCCTCTTTCATCTAACTAGGCACAGCAAGTTAAATGTACTTTAGTTTTCATTCATAGAACTCATGTTGTGAAGCTGTGCCAACAAATCAGTCAATGCTTCAGATCAGAAATATGTAACCCAGGGTGGTCCTGGGCACGGGCGGACAGGGTGGCATGAGTACTAGAAAATAATTGCCCAGGGGAGTAAATCAGTGTCAGATCGCCACTGTAGTAAAACCATGCAAACTGACTGCCTTGTATTTTACTAATATGTATGTTGTGAATGTTACTTATATACACAAGTCTCCAATCTTTTTCCTCTGGTGAGCTACTTTTACAAGATAAATTGCCAGAGAGTTACTAGTTTTAGCTTTTACAAGAAATTGAGCATATATAAGAGCCACGGCGATCCTTAGATGAGCTGCAGTTTGAGGCCTATAAAACATAAACCATTATCCATTTATTAGTGTACAATGTTAGGCATCAAAATGATACATGATTTAATTAATCAAATTTTACTTATTCAGCACAATACGTGTAATTCAGAAATCCCTTGGGGAGCTACTTTAAAAGGTGTGGAGAGCTATTGGTGGCTTCTGAACTACAGGTTGGAGAGCCCTGAGTTAGAGTAAAAACAGGTTCTATTCAACAATAATGACATGCACAAGGATTTGAATATTTATTAGTGTTTGAAAAAAACACAGAAAAACTTTTGTTCAGATTAAATTCAAACACATCGTAACATGTGGAACAATAAAATAATACAGCTTGGTCATTCCAGGTCGACAAAACCAAGGCCCCTGCACTTAGAGCTCAAAAAATGCTGGAAGAAACAAAACAGGTGTCCAGGTGAGCACAGACTGAATGAACAGAGGGAGGATGTAGAGACGCCCTGGGAGGATCAGGGAATGAGGGAGGTAGTAAAAGAAGTACCAGAATAGACTGGGAAATGGAGCTGGACTCTTGGCAATAATATGTCACTGTTGAAGTTACTTGTCTCATTACCTGGTCCCCGAAGGGTTGACCAGGTTTTGTATTCACCCTATGTGTCTGTGTCTGTGTGTGTGTGTCTGTCCACAGCGATAATTCCGCCATTCGTCACCGATCGTCATCAAATTCGGTACGTGGGTCAAGCCCCTGTGCCCGATGCTGCAAAAAAAAGTTTGGTAACGATCTAAGGTCATTTGAGGTCACATGGGTCAATTGAAAGGTCACGCCATTATAAAGGATCGGCAATTTTGGCAATTTCTGAACCATCTGCGGGCTAAAATATTCACCCAATCATCGCACAAGTTGGCACACACATAACCGGGGTACACTGGATGTTACAGGTTCAAACCGGTCAAGATCACTTGAAGGTCAAGATAACCAAGGTCAAATATGCGTTTTCAGTCATAACTCCCCAAAGGATCGAGCTAGAGCAATGGGAGTGGTCTCAAAATCTCAGAAAAAATAGTATCTATTTATAATTCTGTGCCTTTGTATAGTAAAATATGAATAGTTTTCGAGATAATCGCTAATTAGAACAGTTCCTTTCTCTTTCAGTGTATGCCGTTATAATTCTAATTGGAACAAAAATGTCTTCTTTTTTTGGGTGATACACGACACACTGATCAACAGTCACACAATTAACATATACAGAACTCATGAATAATGACATTTTCGCTAGTAAACACAGACATTCTCATGCATGACCAATATCACACAAATGTTCATGGGCCTGTACAGATACACATGTTGCATTGTGGATATAATGATCATTTAATATGGGCTGGACTCCTCATAAACTGCTTCTGTGGTGATGAACTGCCCCCACAATGCCTCATGGGAGACCAGGTTGCGCTTGTTCAAGTTGATCTTAGTCTAACTGACAAGTAATGTGCTTTTTTCGTCCTGAAAGTAACTGTTACTTTACCACAATCATTAAGATCGCTGTGAGTAAAGGAAACTGGAGCTGAATGCAAGTGAGCCCTAGTGTTAGAATTTACAGTGAGGGCCAAACTCATTTTCCATAGAGAACAATAAATATTTAATTAAACGTCTAGGTGTTTAAACGTAATATTTTTTCAGCGGTAAAACGGCAGAATGAACTTAACAAATAGAAGTAACCTTTTCTGCAGCGTTTAATTTGCTGGCCTTATTTACCCCAGCACTTTAAAACTATGAAATTGAAAATAGCACTATTAAGAAGAAGCAATTGCTACTCCTGGCACATAATAATAAAAGTTGAGAAAAACAAAATGTCATTACCAAATCGGTGGCTGCCTGACATGGATCATTTCTCTGGCTCATAAAACAAAATCAATTTAAAACACAACACAAATACTGGCGCAAACATCCGTGACTAATCATGAGGCAAAACAACTGTTCCTCTCATCCTCCTGGAGACTTTGAATCGTTTTCAAACTTTAAGGACATGCTTTTCTTCCTAATCCACGAAAGGGAATTGAAAAGTGTTGCACAGGCTAATTGAATTTAGGCCAATGTACTGTCAGGCTTAGCATAAAGTATGTTTTTCCTGAGCGACTGGTTATGCAGTTAGAGTTAGAATTGTAAGAGATAAAGTAATTGCATTGTATAATTTATTTCTGTAAATCAGGGACTGCAGATGGAAACTAACAATTTTGCTATAACCTGGTAAGGAACATGTCTGTACATTGGATCTTCAAATTAAGACTACTGTATTTTTCTGACTAAAAGTCGCACTTTTTTTCATGGTTTGCGTGGTCCTGCAACTTATACTCTGGTGTGACTTATATATTAATTTTTTCAGACTGACAGCTGCGAGAGGGTGCTTTAGACTTGTGTGTCAGTATCTAATACTCCTATTACTCTTGTACCACTGTCACTGCACTCTACTGTGCATGTCTCCTGTAGAAAGAGCCACTGTCTCACTTCAAATAGTGAAATGTT